CATCAACATCAGTACATGTTTCATTTATTGACTCCAAAAGTATTACAATGTCCCCTTACAATGGCTGCTTTTGTTTGTTTTTATAGCAGCAATGTAGGTACTGGCTGCTTTATAGAGTCAATACAACATTGGTATGTGTCAAATGATAAAAAATCCCAAAACTAAGGTTGGTTATTTTTGATCAAAGCTACAGACAAAGAACACACTGTTTGACTACAAAAGTTGTTCCACCTTCCTACAGTGTGTGCCCTTACCACATATTATGTAAGCATTGGTCTCTGTCTCCAGCTGGCTTACTGCCCATCGATGTAAATCACACCTAACGCATTAACATATCAGTATCAGTATCTTAATATGACCCGAGTCATTTGTAAATGTGTTTCTTAGTTAGAGTGGCTTCTGCTGTAATGAATGTCTGTGGCAAAAACCCTTTTGAGGCACCATAGAGATACATGAGCTGACATTTAAGCTGTGAACACTTCCTGGGATCTTGACATACATAAAGGATTTGGGATTTCTCAATTTCCCATCCAAGTGGAGGCAGAAAACACAACATTAAAAGAGAGTGGAAAAACAGTTAGCCAAAGGTAGGCTTTCTACCAAAGAGTGGTCCTGCAAAGATAATGGTGATGAAAGTGTAGATTGGTGACATTGTGACCTCTTGCTGGGTGTCCTACGACCAACCAATGGATGTGTGTGTGAGAGAGAAGAGTTGTGAATGACATTTCAAAGAAGTACCCTGCTGAGACCAAGAGAGCTATGTCAGTGGTTTGTGTGCAAAACCAAAACACACACACACACACACACACACACACACACACACACACACACACACACACACACACACACACACACACACACACACACACACACACACACACACACACACACACACACACACACACACACACACACACACACACACACAGCTGGTTGTTCAGGCAATCTGTCCATCTGCTAGTCTGTCAGCTGCACATCATCTTTACTAAATGGGGTTAACAGCCACTGCTGTGTTAAGAGGGGCCAGGATAACAAGTCCTCATGCCAGGGAGAGACATGGCAGGGGGCTTAGAGAGGGAGAGAGATTTAAATGGTGTGAGAAAGACACAAGGTAAGAGAGGTAGAACACATAAGTGTAGAAATTCTCTGATATAGGGCCTGTGATTGAGGATAATGGTTTGCTACCCTGCTGTGCTTGCTGCGCAGAGCTAAGAGCAATGGAGAGCAGAGGAAAAATGGGGCACAGGAATGACTAAGAGAGATTGAGAAAAGGTGGGGTCATTTATGAAATAGCAGAAGGATGAGTTGAGATGGATGAAGGAAATGATGATGAGCTGGAGAGCAAAAATGGATGGGGTGAAAGACAGATTGTAGAGGAAGATGGCCGCCGTTTATGAAATAAAAAGAGGGTTACAGCGTAAGTATCGCTGAACTGGAAGCTTTTTTTGTGTATTTTAGCATAATTAGTTTTCACACAAGCAACACACACACACTATGAGTGCGTAAATGCTATGTATTCATTTGTGGGAGTGTCCTTCTGCAGATGTCATGTGGTGAGTAATGCCTAGTTTAACTGAGTATTTACCAGAGTTTATTGGAGTCTGTGACCCGCTGGCTGACTCACTATCTGGCACATTGGTAATTAATAACATTTTAGCGCAACATAGCCTCAAACCGTTGACATTTTCGGCTAGAGAGTGCGATACACACTGTAGACACACATGCCTTCGCCAAACTGTTTCCCTGTGAGTATTCGTCACAGTCTATCTTTGGTGGATTTCACTCCTCAGTCCCTTTTTGCTCCATATTAAATAATTTTGTTATATTAAAAATCATATGATGATAGATTTCAGGGTGTTCTAATACAGTCATCTTAGAAGGATATTTTCACCAAACAACAGCGTTAAGTCATGTTTGAGACAGGTTTATATTTGAATGTTAGTTTACTACAATATTGCCAACATCATCGGCAGCTTTCTGCACTACTAGAAGCTCAGACAAAAGTTCTTCCTGTTGTTCACTTCCTGGTGTGGGAACATGTAAAACCAAAAAAGGAAATTACTTAAACTATAAAATCAAAAATGATGCACATCTCCATTCAGGTTCATAATGCTCTCTATTGCAAACAAGGGAGGTCTGAAACAAATTTCCCAAAAATAATTTGAGTGCTCAATGAAAAATTCAACATATCCAGCACAAATCTATCAGAAACAGAACCGTTTTGATGGTTGAATAATGGACCCATTGAGATTTATGTTCAGAGTAAACCTACATGAGCTCACATTATGAGCAAAAACAAATACTGCCAGTTTCTATATTGTCAGATTCGAAATCTGTAGTTTTCTTTAACAAATATAGTTTAATGATATAGTATTTTTTTTATTTAAAAGGTTGATTAAGAGGATCAAAACCACAAGTAGACCTCATAACCACATTATGCATTTCGTCAAAAACACAAATAGCAGCAATCACAACAATTATATATAATGAAGCTGTTTCGGTCAGTGAGGCTTCAGTGCTTAATTTCTCTTGTCTTTAATGTTCTTGTCTGAGAAACTACAGTTGGGATTTTAAAACCATTAGTGTCACTTTGCAGGAGTTATTGTTTAAAAGATGTCAAATTAACCTTACAGAGTAATACCTTGAAAAGGCAACAATTAGGCTGTCAATTAAAGTATGCGTATAAAAAAGGAGGCCGTCTGTTGTAGATATTTACCTTTCAAACAGTGCCAAAATAATCACTCAACCATTCAATCATATGTCTCCTATTCCTTTTACTTGTGGTCCATATCGAAAAAATATACTGCCATCTATTTACGTTAATTTTGTAATCAAGCCTCAATTAAATGTTATATTGCTCCAGTAAAGTGCTCACACACCCGCCTCATAGATACGCCCAGCTTAGTGCATCAGCGCTTTTACTAATGCTGAGTCAATTACTACTGCAGATCCTGAGCCTTAAAAAGGGCCAGGGGTCTGTGTGCCTGTAGGGGTTGGGGTTAAGGTGTTTACTCTGTGTGTTAATTTTTTTCTGAGCTGAATATAAGCCAACAAGGTTGTCAAGCCAGAAAATAAAATTACAAGAAAGTCAATTCGGATGTTGCACAGAGAGAGAAGTCAGGAGTTTAAAATAAGACATATCTCAGACAAATCTGAAACTCAAAAGCCCACTAGCAATATTTAAAGGGTGAAACACTAATTTAAGACGAGGGTTTCCCTACATTTACCCAGCTTACTATATGATTTAATATTAAGGTTTACAAGCACTAATGTAACAGTAAGCAGGTTCATGAGTGGCACAAAGGAAGCCACAGTATCAACAGAGTCAATATAATTCATCCTCGGGGGGAGAGAAACAAATCGAGACATTTGATGGCAAACTGATCATTAATTCGCCATTAGTACAAACCTGACATTTGGCCTGAAATCGGCGTTTGAGAAAAGGTCATGTAAAAACCAAAATGGACAGAGATTGGGTCAGAGAAATCTCCGTTCATGTGGATATTTCTTGCATACAAATGAAACTCAAAGGTGCAAAGTCACTGGGAATACCTGTCGGAGAGCCATGGGAATTGAGACCACATGTTTGGCAATCTGTAGTTGATGAGATATCTTAATGTAGACCAAAGTGTTGGACTGATGGACATACATGTGGACAGATCAATTAACCAATATCACCATCCACTGCTAGTGGATCAAAAATGAAAATCAAACGGCATGAAAGAACCATGAGAGACAGGCACACAATGGGTGAGATATTAGACTGTGCTTTTCACTGAGATTTTAATTGGACTGGGCTTTGCAGGGTTGCTGCTTTGTCTTTTCCTCATTAACGGAGCAAATTAAGAACTTTTCAAATCTCTGTTAGCCTGTTTAACATATTCATACATGTCTTTCAGTTCGGCTTACTTTACTTTTAAATACTCTTTGGACAGAGTCATTGTATTGCTGCTTTAGTTTTCATTGCCACGCAGTGTGCACCCTTTGTTGTATTGTTGGCTGACTCTTTTGTAATGTAAATAGCAGTAACTTCCAACAACTGTGTGTAGAGTAAAACACACACCAGACTGCGACTATTGCAACCCTCAGACTATATAAACACTCACACAACATGCAAAGTCAACCATAGCTTAAGACATGAATCAGTACACTGTTGCGCGCGCACACACACACACACACACACACACACACACACACACACACACACACACACACACACACACACACACACACACACACACACACACACACACACACACACACACACACACACACACACACACACACACACACACACACACACACACACACACACACACACACACACACACACACACACACACACACACACACACACTACTTGACAAGGCTTATTGTTTGTCCTTGACATTTTCACGTATTTGATAAAAGGCTGTTATGAAAGGGGCATGTGTTGGCATCACAAATCTTCAAATGTTTCGTGATTTCTTTCTTCCCTCTCTTGGCTGACTCAAGGGACTTCTGTGCTCGGGGTGGACTTGTTGTTAATTAACCACACAGCTGTCTGATTAAAGTGTGTGTATAGAAATGTGCACACAAAGTGGTAGCTATAGAACAAAATGAATGGTCTTCTAACATCTACCCTTCATTAGTGTTAAAGCTAATTCTCACTTGGAATAGCATGCAATCAAATCGTGTGTTCTCAAACAAGCATTGCCTGTATTTCTCTCTTTCAAATGACCAAGTTACCATTTTACTCCCTGTGTATTGCAGAATGGATACAGAATACTAACCATGCACGTTATCTACAGATCCTCTAAGTGAAGTTTTGCAACAGTTTTCACCTATGAAGAAATGTTAGACTTGTTTTTTAATTTTTGTCATATTATTATTGTTTCTAAAACCAGGCCATTTTTCTGTCCCCATACTTGTTTATGTTAGATACTATACCACATGTTGGATTAAACACTAGTATAAATAAACGTGGTGTACTAAACAGAGTCTCTGTGTCTGTTTCTCAGTGCACGTGAAGGCAGGGACGTGTGAGGTGATCGCTGCCCATCGCTGCTGCAACAAGAACAAGATTGAGGAGAGGTCTCAGACTGTCAAATGTTCCTGCTTCCCTGGACAGGTCGCTGGCACCACCCGGGCCATGCCGTCCTGTGTTGACTGTAAGTATTACTGTTTTTGTGTTTGTGCTAATTTTGTATGTAGCTTCCGCAGTTGGAACCACACTAGTGATACATTGGTGTCTTAAAATGCTAATGAATTTATATTTGTATGATAATGCAGTATAGCATTAATTCAGGAAAAGCTAATTAAGTTGTGCATTACCCTATTGTTGCCTTCTAGATAAACCGTATAAAGCCAACACAAAAGTCAGAGATTTGGGTACATTGATACAGAAATACAGATCCAGCCCACATGTGTGTTTTTTTTGTTTTTTTTAAGAGTTTCCTCAAAGAGTAGAGCATTTTCTGCCAAAAGTAATTATTTGCTATAAATGGTCAATTCCCTCTGTGTCTCATTGAAACATAATTTATAGTCTCAGGCCGGTCATGATGTAATAATCATCACAAATGTGGCACTCTAAAACATTTTCAAGTTTTATTATGAGTTCCTGCATAAAATACTTCATTACTTTATACCGTATAATATATGTGTTCTGGTTTGTGTTCCTTCCTACCAATTACTATTGAAATATAAATAAAGTAGACTTTAATTTGATGTCATATGACGGATATGTCAATACCCTCTTGGCAGTATTTTTGTGTAATTTTTGCCAAAGTACTGTAGATGTCCTTGGAAGTGAATGGAACATCGTTTCTGGCTTTGTCAATTACATTTTTGTGATGAATTCAGAGCAATTACAAAGATGATGGATGGCATGAGGTTACGTTGCACACGCAAGCAATTTAAAAATAACAAAATTCCTACTTCGGCTATAATACCCAGACACGCAGTAGAGTAAAAGAAACAGAAATCTGAACTATTCTGAAAAATAAAAGCAATCCTTGCTTCACAACCAAGCAAAACAACTCCAATGACACTTACACATTGAAAATAACACATTTGAATATAACAACAAAGGCAGAACAGGGTAAATGCTCCAGTAGGAGGAATTCAGGTGTTTCTGCTATTATATGAGGCACTTCAGTCAATGTAATGTAAACAAAAAACGACTCCCCAACATGAATCCTTAAAGCAAATATTACAAACTGCAGAAAGTGTGATCTTTCTGTAGCTGCTTTGTTGACAATGAGAGAAAGGTTGATTCTGGGCTTTAACACATCAATTAGTTTTGTTTTTCCGTAGTGCTGATTATACCAGGCTAGAAAATGCACCAAAACTTTAAACCCAAGAAAATCCCTCTGGCTACTCTTCGTGTTTCCACAACATCTGTATCCTACTCCCCCTGCAGCAATGACGAGTGGCACTTAAAAGAAACCACAGACTCAAGAATCAGCTGCTCTCTTGTTTCTTGCCTTTGCATTTTGCGTTATAACTCTATATATACAGACAGACAGACAAATATAAATAGCTTGTGGAGATAGAGATAATCCTCAATGCTTTGTATTGATCTAATCATAATCCCTGGCAAATAAAGCTATCAGAAAAATGTAGTAGAGTTGAAGTTTGAGATAGCATAAAATGAAAATACTCAAGTAAATTAGAAGTAACTCTAAATACTCCAAAACAGCAAGAATGGTAGTTGAGAGAAGAGTTCAAAGTTACCCCTGCACCACTGATGATTATTGGTAGTATCAGGAAATCACTTTGTACAAAATACCACTTCAATAAATTGTGAATGCTTATGGCTCTTTCCATTTGAAAATGGTTTGTCGTCTATAAAAATGTTAAACTGCTGTATGACATCAACATTGAGCTGACATTAATTCTGACAGACCACATAGTGATTACTTGATGAAAGTTTGCCTGAGCTTTGTATACTGGGAGTTCCCTGATCAAAGCGGCTACCGTCTGAAATATCTGATTACTAAGAAATCCTTTGAAAATTCCTCAGACACTACAACGCTTAACTAAAGTGTCACTAATTCCCTGGGAATGATGTCACTGAATACAGGCCTCTTTTCCAACTGACCAAGTATGTCACTACTAAGTTGGAGGGACAATTATAAGAACCTTACATGCTAAACATTCAATTACCCCATAACTGACTCTGAAAAATACCTACAGTAATACTTTAAGATTGACATGTAAAGAAAGGCTTTTCATGAGAACATTCAGTCAGCTTTTACTGTGGTGACTGCTCTTTTGTGACTTTTTTCTTTGTGATAATATTTAAATCATATTCTTCTTCTTGATGTGCCTGGTCTTTTTAAGCCTTTTCTTTTCTGTGTTTGCTAAAGGCATCAATTCATTTTTATGCTGTGAACAAATCTACTGTGAACCCTCAAAGATCACAACTATTCCAGCTGTCTCACGCTTTTCTTTTTACCACCACAGTAATTACAAAAATGTAAATGGTCCCTTATGTGATGATCACATTTACATGAATGTAGTGCCCATGCATACAGTAATGACAGGCCTTTTAAAAATGCTCTCCAAAGAGAGCATAGTTCATTTTTCTCTATTGATGAAAGGTTCTCAAAAATATTTTCACCCGAAGAATATGAGTGAAACATTGGGAATTATCTCAATATTGATGTTAAATAACATTAAGAATAGAGGTTAGCCCTGAAATTAGTTAGGGTACCCATACATATAAAGAGATGAAAGATATTCTCGTACAGTGTGTTTGTATTTCCTTTATTACCAAAGTGTGGTGGATGAAAACAAAAATGCTATATTTCCATGCTATAGGTTTTCCACATCAGTTTGAGTGGTTTGGACTCTTTGTGCAGCCTCTTCTTCTGAACGGGTTTAATTGCACCCAATTGGAGACTAAGTCCAACAAACTGTTTAACTTGATGTGGCCAACTCCTATTTTTCTATTTAAATGTATCTAAAAATGTACACAGAAACTTTTTGAGGCAACGCTTGGTGTCAAAATTCACAAACAAAGAGACAGGAGACACATAAAGGTACAGAATAAAACACAGTGTCACGTCTTTACCATACTAAATATCTTCCACCCTCCTCTCTGTTCCACACAGCTTCCATTGTGGCCCAGAAGTGGTGGTGTCAGATGCACCCGTGTAATGATGGTGAGGAGTGTAAGGTTCTGCCAGACCTCACAGGATGGAGCTGCAGCACAGGCAACAAAGTCAAGACCACAAAGGTTGGTGTTCACACAATCTCTCTCTCAGAACAAACTCCCTCTCATCCCCATACATGCACACATGATCAGACCCACCGCCGAGTGACCCACTTCCACCTCCGCTGATTTATATCCTCGTCCTCTATCTTCCTCCTTTTTCATTTGTTTCCATCGCTATCTATTTCCCCCATCATATAATTCTTTTTCTCACCCAATTTCTCTGTCTTTACTTTTTCCTCCCGCCTATCTTGGATCTAACATCAAAGAGTCTCTAACGAAAACAAGGCCAACAGGAACAAGGCAAATAACACACAGATACACACACGGGGGGAGAGAACATCACATTCCCTTCATTCCCACTTGCCCTGCTTCCCTGTGTCTGACTGGCAGACCATCTGACTCGATGCAAAAACAACTCCCCACAGTGGGTAGAATAACGTGGTAATTGTGAGTGTGTGTGTCCTCTTTCCTTCAACTTTAATGAACTGTCCATGTGTCTGTGTCTTTACATATGTGTGTATAGGTTTGGGCGTACATTATATATCTCTCTACGCAGACCAGACACCTGTTGGCTCCTCTTCGGTGGCTTGACCTGAGCAGACTCCTAGCTGTCTGTTATAGGAGGGAATTTGTGCGAGACTCACCTCATGTCACTGTATGCTTCTGTATCTAACCTCCATCCTTCTTTCTGCCTTCTCATCTTCCATTATTCATGGCTGGGTGCAGACCGTTGTTTTCAGCTTAAATAATTGATTGAAGGAGTGGCCAAAGTAGGGAGAGTGCATCTCTTTGGAAAAAAGAGATGGATAAGTAAAGGGTGAGACGCATGTGGGCAGGTATCTCATCCTCACTCTCTCTTTCTTTAAAACATTTAGAGACTGTCTCCTATACACCTGTCTGATTAAGAATTCCTTCGCTACTTTTTCCTCGGCTCACCTCTCACCTAGCAAAGTGGATCTCACACCCTCAAGTTGCACTCTCCTTCTCAACAGCCCCTCCTCTTATTCTCACCCTGAAATACTTTTCTGCTGTGCTGACCCAACTCATAAAATCGGTGAGGCTGTTCTCATAAGTGCAGCTGAACTTCCCAAATTCCCTGCTCATTTAACAGCAAGATAAAGAGAAAATGAGATGGAAATAGAAAATGACAGAGTGGTCTTTGTAACGGGCATAATTGAAAAGAGATACACACAAGGGTTGATCAGATAGGAAATGATGTAATTTCTGAATATGCGAGTGCTGTTCAGAAGTTGTTTCATATATCTGATCTCATGCATTTAGTGTTATCGGCCCCAAAGAGCGCAATCATAATTTCCTGAACAAGATCAAAGCAAACCAGTTTCATCCAAGCATCGTTTTATCATTGAGTCTGAAAGAGCACAAATATTTGCTGTCTCTTGCATTCAGGTTTTTGATCAATGATCTGTGTTTGTGTGTTTGTGTGTATGTGTGTATGTGTGTATGTATGTGTGTATGTGTGTATGTGTGTATGTGTGTATGCGTGTGTGCGTACACTATGCGAGTGTGTTATCTGATGTGTTTGCCTGATGATGAAAAGGGTGATTTTTTTTTCTCCTCTGGTGTGGTACATTGAGGTCAAGATGCGCATGAATCCAGATCAATGGCATCGAACGTTCCCTTATAGTCCCATTAAGACCCGCTCGTAAATTGAAATTGACGATGGATTGAGAGGGAATGAGGATATGAGAGAGAGGGAGAGAGATAGAGAGAGGGTAAAAGAGCAGCCAAACGGGAAGATGAAGGCAGGGGTAATGGATGAAAACAAACAAAAAGTGGAAAGTGAAGACGAAAGGCTGAGGGCACAGGTGAATGTTAGATAAAGGAATACAGAAAACACTTGAAAACAAGAATATTGGAACTGGTCAGCTGACAAGGAGCTTATGTTTGTGTCTGGATACACAGAGCAGGCAAGAAAGCAAAAGAGTGTTTGGCACCCTCCCTCCTTTCCTCCATCCATCCATGGCCCGGAGCAGCGAAAAGGAGGAGAGGGGGAGGGCAGAGGGAGGAGAGAGGGAGGGGATGGGAGACAGCTCGATCAATGCCAAATAATATCATATGGATGAGCAGACAGACACAGCCGGGCTTCCGAACCACTGAGCTGTCATACACTGCGAGACAAGTGTGCGTGTGCATTTGTGAGACGCACAAGCAGCCATACAGTATACACACATTAAACAAATGACAAGGTGTATGTTTCATTTCCTTTATACAAACACTAAACCAATGTGGCACAAAAAAACAACCCACCATTCTTTTTGGTAGACAGAACAATACTATACAAACAATGAATCAAGATGTTAAAGGTGGGGTAGGTAATTTTGGAGAAGCCAGCTCGAGTGGGCTAGAATTTGAAAATACACAACCGGAAAAAATCTGCCACTTCCTTACAGAGCCCCTCCTCCAACACACACGAACGCGCACATGACCAATGAGGGCACGAGATAAGTTTGTGCACAGATGGAAGGCTGACAGGCAGGTAGGCCATCCAGTTATTTTAGCCGGGCCGGCTCAAATGATTGGTCGTGCTTTTTACAGCGCCACGGCTTCCACAGATGACATTTTTTATGTATTTATTGTCAAAGCATTTAATATATTCATTGCTATCGGGATGTTAAGAGCATTCCATGGAATATAACAAAAAGTGTTTCTGAAATAAATTACATACCCCACCTTTAAGTAATTTAAAGCAGCTTTTATATCTCCAAACAAAAAGACAAGATAAATCAAGATCAAACATCTTATACAATGGATTTTCCATAATCTACTCTTGTGTGACTAAGTGAGTCATAAAGAGTGTGTATAATGTAGGAGTGAAAGGGGACATCTGCCTTGTGGCCATCCAAACAGCCACTAGTGTAGACGTTTCAAGTTTTTGGAATAAGCTCTCATGGGCCCAACAAGACCCATAGAAATGACACTCGAGCACTGCTGGTGTTCTTTGTAAAACTGACATCTAACTACGTAAATCAACTTTCTAATTGGGCACAGTGAGTTCCACCTACAGGCATATTTAAACAAAAGGGATGAACACCTAATGGACTTTGAAGCACCTTAAAGCACTGCAGGCACAGAGATACAGCAGTGCATAGTGAACTGGCCTGACAACAAACGCCTGCAGACTGTTTGATCTGGCACAGGAGTAGATGCCTGAAGGCAGTGGGATCGGGCCCAGGAAGGGTGGCCCGCAGCCATGGAGAGCAGATACAGTAGAACACTTTCCACTGCCAGCTTGGAGGAAACGCTCCCCTGAGCTCTCTCTGCAATGGCTGTCCTTCACACTTAGTTAGCTGGCACCTGGGTCGGACAAAAGACAAAGTCCCTCAAGAAGATATGCAGAGGGGACAGCATGTGTTTGGGCTTAGAGGGGAATCCACTGGGAAACACAATGACACACAATGAGAAAGAAAGGCATACAGGAAAACAGAAGAATAGACTTAGGAAGTCTGGTCTGTTACGTGCCTAAGCACTGGCAGTTATACAGCAATTTGAGTCTGTTTGGTCGTTGGCTCGTTGGAAATGTCTCCTAATAGCTTGAAATAAACCAAAAGTGATTGGATGAGCAAAACAAATGGAAAGATGGATGGACAAGGGGAAGAGACCATGTGATTAGAGCAACCGTCTTGATAAACTGACGAAATGACATGGCAGTGGGCCAGGTGCTGAAAGTGAGGCATTGTGGGCCAACAGCCATAATTCAAGCTGTGTCTTGTTTAGTCCCTTGCCAGGACAGACAGAGAGCGTGCCAGCCACATTGTTGCTGCTCCCCCAACAAGAATCACTTGCCATTTATTCCAAAAGTAGACCGAGCAGCACGGAACTGCATCATTTCAAACTTTCAGTTGACGTGTTTCACCAGAATTGGCTTTGTATTGTGTTCTGTGACCTTTACCGTTTTCAGGTTGTCATCCGAACCTTTTTAAAAGGGACTATTTTCAATGACACACTTTCTTTTCTCCCCGTTTCAGGTGACCCGATAGTCCTGCGAGGCTCAAGAAGAGCAGAAATGGCAGTGGAGTCACTTATACAGCACAATGGTCCTATCAATGGTGAGGAAACGCACTCAGACGGACTTCTATAAGGAACCAATACTTGTTTCATTGTTCTGAGGATATCCTAGATGTGGAGGCTGAAGAGACAGGACTCTATCACAGTCTTCCATCACCTTAAACACAACTCAGTGTCCTTGGTCCTTTGCCACAAAGGGCCGCATCACCCACAATCCTTTACTGCTACTACAAACAACAGCTTCAAAAAAGTGAACTATGATCTAACAGCACTTGATTAGAAGACAAAAAAGACTTTCTTTACAACAATGTGTATTCTTCATCTCTCTTATATGGCTTAGTGTTACATACGCATAAAGGGAAATAAAGGGGATCTGGATTTAAGGCAGCAACATTACTACAAAAAAGGGAATTGATCCAGAATGTCTGTCTCATGTAGTCGGGATGACACATTTAAATTTAACTGTGCCACATATGACACACTTGATGCTGTCAAAATGTTTCTCAGATCTGAAACTAAACCCTTTCTTTTTCAGATTTCACTTCCATAAGAGTATTTTACCTTGAATAGTTTGTGGCTTACCACATGCCATGTTTTCAAATGGGGAGACAGTTTGTCAGTCTTCTTATATCTATTGTTTTCTTCTTTTTTTTGACAAAGGACAACATCCTTTCAGGAGAGAGGTTAGACTAATACCAAGTAGATGTTATGGTATATTGAAACATGTAAACGTGTTAAAAAATGGTCCATGGAATCAACGGGGCTTAAAATAAATTGATGCTCTAATGGTTTTAATATCTGTGTTTTTGAACGCCTGTTAACCGCTATTGAGTACATGTGTCAGTATTATATGAAATGAATAAAACCTTTCAAAAGAACAAAATAGTACAAATAATTGTATTGTTTCACAAGGGATGCATGGAGTTATCAGCATTGATCAAATCAGTTTGAATGTATTGTCGAGAAACCTTGAGGAAACTCAAAATCATAAGTGTGTAACTCCTGGTGTTATTGCGTTGACTTCAAGAAAGATCATCAATAACTTTTGCTTTCTTTGTTATTTTGCAAACTAGATGTTATCATCTTGATTTCCTGCTTCAAACAAACAGCTCTGAACTCTCTCAACTGTATTGTAACAGACAGATAAAGCTCCTGATATGAAATACTTTTCTAAGCTCTGTCTAGTCAACAATGGAGGGACTATTTTAGGGCAAGCCTGTACCTGTTTTCATATTATAAATGTAGGCGAGGAGGGTAAAGGATCTTAAAAATGTGTTCCCGAATTGGGATTAATAAAGTACATCTTATCTTATCTTATATGCAGCACATTTCAGCCAGGAAAATGGTCATTTGTGGAGCTTTATCAACAGGTGAGTTTTAGAAAAAACCCTTGATTGTGAATTAGCAGTGATTCTATTTTTATTACCAACAGTCATTCTAGCGTTACAGCTGAAGCGCTGAGCTGAGATGTTGGCAAGCTAGGGTCAAAGTGTCTGCCATCTGTTGTTGTTGTTCTATGGTGGCCTGATGTTGTTATTTATGTGGCATACTGTACAACAGCTGAGTGTTTCTCTAGTTTTCTCTCTAGTTCTCTTTTTTTTGTACTTCTCTGTTGTCAGTCTAATTAAGTTTTTGTTATTTGTTTATGTTAAGTTGATAATAATATCCCTTCTTTCATTCTTACATTGTATTTAAATGTTTGGGATTTCTTACAACCTGCAACTTGTTCACACAACATCACATAAATACGGTTCATGTCAGAACTAATTCCTCACAAGCAACTTAACTTGAATAAGAAGCCATGCTTAGAAAAGTAAATGTTACTGTAAGACTGCTTTCAGGCACTTAATATAGATCAACATCACATTATGACACAAACATGAATACAGTATACCATCAAATACTGGGTAACATGCATCATATATACTCTACTTTAAATCAGGTTATGTAAATGGTATATATCCTGTCCATATTTATCAATTATCTGCAAGCCATCAAGCGTGACGAGTAGATGAGAAACTTCTTGGAGAGACAAGTACTGTCATTATATATCACATCAAGATAGAGTTGCTGTATGTTTAAATATATGACCATGAAAAGACAGTACAGTAGGATATGGAAACATTGAATCATAAGAGCAGGATGTACTGTACTGTAAGAACGCAACAGCGAGTGATAGATGTTGATGCTAAGTGGCAGGAAGCCTCTGCTGTAAATCTGATTATGAAGGAAATGAAACAATAGGACAAAGACCGAGAAAGTTGCAAACAAAATGTTGAGTTTAAAGCTGTGGACATCTATCTCTCCTCTCTCCCTGACACATACACTATCTGTGCTGTGTTGCAGTAAAGCTGCCTTTCTCCAAAAAGCTTTTCTGATTTGGCTAATCTCCCAGTGGATCCTCTCAGGGGCTGCGGCCTTCCACTGAGCCTAAGTCATTCTCTCTCTGTGTGTGTGTGTGTGTGTGTGTGTGTGTGTGTGTGTGTGTGTGTGTGTTTCCTGGCCAGGGTACTTTCTGAGCCTCAACGCGTCGTTAGTGCATGTCATTAAAAGATTACAGAGAATAAACCCGCATACAGATTCTCACACATTCATGCACATGAGGTGAAAAAACAGGACCTGAGCATGGAAAACTCTGCTATAATTACACAGAGAAAAATGTGAAAAAGGGTTTTGACATTAGAATATGCCACTCTCGAGGTTTTCATTTTAACTGCTCACATGTGAATCCAATCATGAGTCAACCATGTGAGCCTTGTTGATATTCCTCAACAGCACCCTTAATAACAAGCCACTCTTACTCACTCGTAGTGTATATTAAATATTTATCACTGGTGCTGAAGCGAGGTATCAGGTGTAGCCCTGACAGTCTGGCGGTTCTGATCATCACACATTGCAGCTAGGCATTAATCTAGTTATTTGTGGCTTTACTCTGAATATCCAGACGATGCTGGGAAATGTCAGTATGCTTTCTGGTTAGCAGTGCTAACAACAGATGCCAGAGCAGATGCCACGTCCGGCCAAACGATGAGATAGGCTATATCCTAAGAGCTGACGCGTCACTACCAGGACAATAATTAGAGGAAGGTGACTCATCAAGGGTTGAATGGCCAGCAAAAACATGCTTAACCATGCCTGTGTGTTCCATAGAGAGATATAGTGAATACGAATTTCCAATAGCAGCTTTAGAACTAAGAAAACATCATTTAAATGAGTTATAAATAAATACAACTTCCCCCTAAGCTCTACACCTTGGGCGGCCCAAGGTTCTTCAGATGGAAGAAATTCTGAAATTGCATCAGGTTTAATTAAGTATAACAGAGGCTAACTGTGACATCAGGTCTTAAGCTCTGTATGCTATTATAACCAGTTATTTGAAAAATGTACTCAACCATGTTTTTGTTTTCAGGTTAAGGATACTATTTTCCACCACTGCTGTATAATGACAATGACAAGCATTTCAAAGAGCAGGCTTGGATCATAGGGAACAAATCACTTTCTTAACTTTCCTTTTAAATCCTTTTAAAATTACCATACCTTTCTCCGCTCGAGCTGGTGGTTTTGTTAACACATTTACTTAGTGGGCACAGCATTCAGCATTAAGGGTCTTCTCACCATCAGGTTCTCTTTTAGGGCTATTCTGTGCACATGTCCTCAACACATTTTCTCGTTTAATGCCAAGATAAAGTTGTTCACCCGTCACATTAATGTGATGAACCTGTAGCCCTACTTGTGTGTAAAATGCTCTAAATAAATAATCAAATAACTAAATATAAAATATAACTAAATAAATAACAATGTTAAACTTTGAAACGGTTTTACGGTCATAACAAAGTAAAATACAGACAATAAATATAATTTAACCCTAATTTGCTAATAACTCGGCCTCTTCCAGCATCCATGCATGCTCGAGACCTACACCCTCAACTGAGCTTGACATTGATAAATAGTTGTAAACGTCTTCTGTGACTTCTATCAGGGAACATTAACTCAACCCTATAATCCTAATGTTGAACATTATATACAGATTTTGCTCACTGAAGACAATTTACAAAAAACTCCGTAACTGGGATCAATAAAGTATATCTAATCTAATAATACTGACATGTCAATCAAAGCTGTACTTACTGTGATTCATTAACAGTGTCTACAGCTTTGCCTTTTAAGCTAATTGACACCAATAAACTTCACTTAGCAAATTATGTCATAATTAACATTAATAATATCATTGTTCAATATTAAATGTGTACAGATAAGCTCATTAGAATTACTATCATATGCTTGATTTGAAGACAAACGCAAGGACAGGCTTGTCCTTTAGAAAATACAAATATGTCGATAACTTGACATGTTTGACAAGCATGAATATTAAGCTCAATTATTTATTTCAAGTGTGATGCATCATATGCCAGCAGTGTTCACAGTACACAGCACAGTGCCAGTTGACGCAGATGAGACATGATTAGCTGTAATAGTTTCCTTATCCAACAAGAATAAAGCTGTCTTTCCTAAACTGTGATGATGCTCACCTATACTTTTCTGTTATATCCATATAAATAAATTAAGCATGTATCAATTAAAGTGGATGATTAGCTATTGTTTGCTTACCTCAGTGCTAGTTTTCATAAACATTGGCTTGACATTTTGACAAGGAAAACCTAGAAGTATTATTTGTAACTCTACAAAATGGGTTGTATTTTCCTGTGAAGCGTGTAAGATGTTCATGGACAAAGATTTCTAAATTTGACTGTCACTCAAGTATTCCAGCCTTTTTCGAAACCAAATGGCATAAGTGTGAATTCACTTCTAACTTGGTAACTGAGTACATTTCATTATGAGAGTGAATAGCCTGGTGTTAGAGCCACTGCTACATCTCCACTAACGCTTTGTTCCGCAGCTCTTGTGTGTGTATGTGTTGTCTTTTCGATATCATTGGTTGCTGTTCCCCTCCTACAGTATGATGACGTGTTAACCAGTCTATCCCACCGTAAGTAACCTTGATTCCCGATTGGTGCAGTCCCTGGCCCGACCCTCCAATCCCAGCATGTACCTGCGACGGACCCTATAAACTGTGGACAGCCCGACGCAGACACTTGTAAGGTTGTTGCATGTTAACTGTGGTTAACAAGTTGTTGAGGTACCAGCTGTTCGTTAATGTTATCTGTTGATTTGAAGACTGGGCCACTGATCACTCACACACTCTGTCGTGATTTTATGTTAGACACATTAGGTGCCGTTGTTGGCTGTATTTTATTAAATGTTAATAATTAGGAGTTAGTGAGGTTTTTCTTTGTTTGGTTTCCTCTAATTAGTATATACACATAGCTCTTAGTCTAATAGTCCCCTTTTTGTTAAATTAATTAATTTGGTTTAACAGCACCCATGAGGCCCTGTGTTTTTTGTTTATTTAATTTGAGTTCTGTCATTAACAAGTAAATCATTGCACCTATAAAAGGCCATTATGTCATGGATACTACAAAAAAAAAAACTAAAGTTTAAAAAAAAACAATTCTGTCCAATTGCATATCAAAAAATGTTTAAGAGAGCAGAAGTGTTTTTGAATGTTATTGTTCATATATATTAGTGTTTCTTTACAATTATGTTATGTAATGTTATCTTACTGTATTGTGGATACAATTTGGCCACATTGTACAAACAGCTGTCAAACCAAAAGGCATTGCATTTATGAGGCGGTTTTATCCAAATCCAGACTGGTGGCACAGACGGATCTCATGCAAAGCGCTGGCCTGGCCATCGGGATCAATTTGGGGTTCAGTGTCTTGCCCGAGGACAAGTGAACAGGAGGAGCTGGAGATTGAATCCGAAACCCAGAATCACTCATACACAAGAGCCTCCCAATGCACCTGCA